GGCCAAAGGATGGGCAGGGGGCTGTTGAGGACACTGTTAGAGCTAAGGTTTGAAGAAGTGTGGGAGCCAGAATTCCCTGCACAATTCACCATTCACAAGTCAGAAGCCTATAAGCCAGGTCCTGGCTCATTAGAGCACATATGAGTGTGTCCCTCACAAGTTTCACCTTGAGCAAGATATCAATATTTTTATTTATAATAAAATTCTATATCTGATGTTTCCTAATGAGTAGGAAGGTACTTCCCTGGGGATCAGCTGACCCTTCCTAGCCCCAGACCCTGGGTCAAGGCCCACATTCCGTGCTGACCAAGACCTGGCCCTTTTTCCTGCCATGTGCAGGTTGCTGACCCCATGCAGTCCTCTAGAACAGAGTAAAGAACAGAGTCGGGCAGAGACCTCCCTCGATCACACACATTGCTCACAACAGCCTCATAACACAAATGCCTCATAATAGCCTGTGTCTTCTCTCCAAGCCAAGGCCCAGAAGATTGAAATGGACAAATTGGAAAAGGCCAAAAAGGAGCGAACCAAAGTAAGTAATGACAGATGCAGGGGAGGAGGCGGGTGTGTGGGGTGTGGGGTCCTGCAGGGGAGGAGGCGGGTGTGTGGGGTATGGGGTCCTGCAGGGGAGGAGGCAGGTGTGTGGGGTGTGGGGTCCTGCAGGGGAGGAGGCGGGTGTGTGGGGTGTGGGGTCCTGCAGGGGAGGAGGCGGGTGTGTGGGGTATGGGGTCCTGCAGGGGAGGAGGCGGGTGTGTGGGGTGTGGGGTCCTGCAGGGGAGGAGGCGGGTGTGTGGGGTGTGGGGTCCTGCAGGGGAGGAGGCGGGTGTGTGGGGTGTGGGGTCCTGCAGGGGAGGAGGCGGGTGTGTGGGGTGTGGGGTCCTGCTGGCTCCCTTCCACCCATCCTCTTCATTGCCCACGGGGGCTTTGAGCAGCATTGGCCATGCGCTCTTTGAGCAGCGACTGCTGTGTCCCAGCATCTGACTTGGCTTATAGAAGCCTCCACTGCTGTTCTCAAAGGCTTGGTGTTCCCTGCACTCTGCCCTTCCTCATCCCCACTGCAGAGCCCTGTGGCTTTGTCTCTTGTGGGTCGTCAGTGCCTGCCTGGCCTGACTAGATGTTGGTGTTCCTTCTGAGGGGAGTGGGGCCAGCCTGCTCTGGTCTGCATTTCTTGGGCCGCAGAGCTGAGCTCAGCAGCCAGCTTGGTGCTTCCCTGTGGACCTGATGTCTGATGACCGCACAAGCCGGCATTTGGACACCAAGCACCAGCACTCATGTAGCACTGTGATTAACTCCAAGATCAAAATAGAGTCCTCTATGTGCTGTGCTGCACGGCAGAGCCCAAGACAAATAGCTGTGCATCAAGACACCAGCTCCCGCCGCCCCGTGACCCAGTGCCTCACAGCAGCTGTGGCCACAAGACACTCCCTTCACCTGCAGGCTGAGGGGCTGCAAGGCCTGGTGTGCCCTCTCTGAGGCCTGTGTTGGCAGACCAGGAATGTGGGCACTGGTGCAAGAGGATAAACTTAAGTTTCTCATCTTAGCCGTTAAGTGAGCCCCTTCTTTCGCTCCTCCTCCCCCTCCAAACCCCAGGCTTATTGCGGGGATGTGTCTGCAGCACCTGGGGACCACAGCTGTCCTTCCCCTGTGCAGAAGGCACCACTTCCTCCTGGGTCTAAAGAGGGGCATGGGGGTACGGTGGGTGGGGTGCCAGGCATGTCCGGTAACTTTTGATGCTGAGAGGGATCCCACATCTGTTGGGAATCTTGGAAGAGTGGTAAAGCCCTTTCAGACCCTCAGGCACCTTTCCCTCCTCCGGCCAATTTTGTGTAAGTGCAAAACTCCTGTCCCCTGGGAGCAGACAGATGGCACAGGAAATAGACACACAGTTCTGCAGTGGTCTCACTGTCCTCTCTCCCCCTCCAGATTGAGTTTGTAACGGGCACCAAGAAAGGCACCACGACCAATGCCACGGCCACCACCACCACTACTGCCAGCACAGCTGTCGCAGGTAGAGGCCGCTCATCCAGTCCCAGCACTGCCTCAGGGACACAGATTGAGCATGGGTTCCTGGGTTTGTCTGGAAAGGGTCTGTGCCAGACTCTCCTGTGCTGCTCTGCTGAGTGTGAGCACAGCGAGTCTTGGGTCCTGGGGTAGATTCCAGATTCCTGACTCCCCGGGGATCCTGAACCAGGGACTTCTGTTCCTATCCTAAGCCTCTGGAAGCCGGGCAAGGGCTCTGCCTTTGGGGTCCTGCTCTGGTTGGTTTTGATCTAAACTCTCTTGTGTTTCCTGTAGACGCCCAAAAGAGAAAGAGCAAGTGGGACTCTGCCATTCCAGTGACCACAATAGCACAGCCCACCATCCTCACCACCACAGCCACGCTGCCAGCAGTGGTCACTGTCACCACCAGTGCCAGCGGCTCCAAGACAACTGTCATTTCTGCTGTGGGCACCATTGTGAAGAAAGCCAAGCAGTGACAGAGGACACCCCAGGACTTGACAGGACCGTGCAGCACAGTGACTGCTCCCCATGTGCCTTCCAGAAGGAGCCTCTGTGATATTCCAGCCAGAAGGACATTGCGCAGAGGCAGTGGGGTGCAATGGACACCGATTAAAGTCCTGTGTTCTTAGGTCCCGGCATGTCACATGCACTGGCCTCGCCCATGCTGTGTCCAGGCGAACTTGAAGCACAAGCGTCCCTCTGTCTCAGTCAAGATTATTGCTCAGGAGGAACAATGGTGACAGAAACTGTGGGGGTACTCAGAGTAGCCCAGGAGCTACCGTGGTCATTCCCAACGTGTGCCTCGTAGTGGGGGCAGGTGGGAGCTCACAGACACATACAAGCCCCTTCCTGATGGCTGCTTCCCTGACCCGGAAGCCGGATCTCAGCAATTCTCAGGCAATAGCAGAGGCCTCTGCTCTCTTGGGTGCAGTTAAGCACTCCCCACACTGCTTCTGATACACACCCAGGCCTTTGAAATCAGGCCAGTGAACAGAGGGCTGGATGTGATTCCCAGCCTGCCCAGGGCAGGAGCAAGGTGTGGGCACCTGGCCAAGGCCGCCCCAGTCCCTCGGTGCCCGGTGAGTGTGGCCAGCAGGACCCATGCAGTGGGGGAGATGAATCACCTCCTGCTCCGGCCAGGGCGGCAGCTCATTGTTTATGTGAAAGCCCTGCTCTTGGGAGGTTTCTGCCACCCCACCCTTCCTCTGTTGTTATCTCTGCCCAGCAGCAGCCCCTGGGTAGCACCGGCAGCCACTCTTAGAGCCCAAACAGGTTACCAGCCCAAGATGCCACAGGGCAAAGCTTGCCTTTTGTGCCCTCTGGCAGCTCTGCTTCCCACTCAGCGGAAAGGCCGAGTGTCAGAGGAGGAAGCCAGGCTGGGAAGGGTCTCCTTGCTTCCGTGGGACCAACAGAGGCCGAGGAAGGTGCTTTTGAGTCTGTGGCTGATGTTTATTTTGTGATCCAAGGACTGACAACCTGCTTGTGAAATCCCTAAAATAAAAACCGAGTCACACTCATCCCTTTCTCTCCTTGACAGCACTCTGCAACTTGGGGGGGAGGAGGGGCAGAGGGGTTACCTGCTGCTAGCCCTCCCAAGAGCACCTGCAGCTCATTGGCTCAGAACATCCAGGTCTGAGGTGGGCAGCTCGGAGATGCATTGAAAGGAATAAATGGTGGAGTTTGGGACGAGCTCACTTGGTTTTTATGTGCAGGGATCCCTGGGTTCAATTCCCTGTTCCACATATGTAAAATAGTGTGGTAGCACTTGGGAAGCAGAGGCAGGAGTACAAGGCTAGCCTCAACTACATGAGACCCTGTCTATAAAATACAGTCTTTGATGGGATCTGGCCAACTCCCTAGCCTGGCCGATATCTCTACTTTACTTTTCCTCCAGTTGAAAGCAGTTTGCAAAGCTGGTGCTTCGCCATCTCCAACTCCTCAGCCCCCTTGGGCAGGAAGGACCACTGCAATGGATTGTAAACCTTCGAGTAAATAGAGATCTCCCTGTGGTCATTTGTTTTATTACGTGTATGCATGTTTTACCTGCGTGTGTGTCTGCAACACAAGGGTGCCTGGTTCCTGTGGAGGCCACAGAATGCATCCAGTGCTGTGGACCATTGTAAGCTGCCATGTAGGTGGTGAGAATTGAACCCCACTCCTGCAAGAGCATCCAAAGTGCAGTGGCGGTGCACGCCTTTGATCCCAGCACTCGGGAGGCAGAAGCAGGCAGATCTCTGAGTTCAAAGCCAGTCTGGTTGAAAAACTTTTTAAAAAATGAAAATTTTAACATTTATCTTCAAAAGTATGATTTTGCTACGTTGCTATATGTTCGTGTGGTTTTTTTCCTATGTGTTTATGTGTGCGAGCGCAGCATTTTAGAATCTGTGTGTATGCATGCCCTCGTGTGGATCAACCTGGGGTCTTCACCTTCCATCTTAGACGGTTTCTCTTTGTTCGCCACTGTGTAGGCCAGGCTAGCTGGCCTGTGAGCTTCTGAGATTCCTCATGTCTCTGCCTCTTATTTCAACCTAGGAGTGCTGGGATTACAGACACCCAACTGGTTTGTCATGCTGGGGATTTGAACTCACATCTATGTGGCAGGCCCTCTATCCACATTGGCAGGATCCCCCGGCTCTGTATGTTACGTTTTTCATTTGTATTTACATTGTATGTATCTTGGGCTGGAGAGATGGCTCAGAGGTTAAGAGTACTGACTGCTTGCTCTTTCCAGAGGTCCTGAGTTCAATTCCCAGCAACCACATGGTGGCTCACAACCATCCGTAAAGATATCTGGTGCCCTCTTCTGATGTGCAAACATTGTATGTATCTTAATATTTCATTCCTCTCTACTCCAGCATGATCTGAGGACACCCCAGCACATCTCAAAGGCTGTCTATTAAGTCATCTGTGACTCAGTACATGTTTACATTTCTTAGCTGCCCAGACATGACCATCAGAATGCTTTCGCTTTGAACCCACACCATCCGACCGAGTTCAGCTTTTCATTCTCCACATTGACTTTTTATTTTCCCCAGGATCAGAGTCTTAGATTTGCCCATAAAGTGCTTTCCATTCAAGCATGAGAAATAGCACTCAGATAAAAGCCGGGGGTGGTGGCATGATCCTGTAACCCGGGAGGGTGGAGGGAGGCAGGTGGCTATCCAGTGTGGCCGAGACACAGAGCTCTGGCTCAGTGAAAGATCCTGTCTCAGAAAGTAGAGGGCCAGCTGGATGACTCTGGACAAAGGTGTGTGTTGACCAGAGCTCAATGCGGGAACTCACATAAAAGTGGAAAGAGAAAACCCACTTCATAAAATTGTCCTTTGGTCTCCATGTGTGCCCTGGTCTGTGTGTGTATACACACAAATAATAAATGTAAGGTGGACCACGTATGCTGGCTCACACCTACACCTTTGATCCTAGCATTTAGGAGGCAGAGGCAGGTGGACTCTGAGTTCAAGGCTCCCTGGTCTACATAGTGAATTCCAGGCCAGCCAGGGCTATTCAATGAGACCCTGTCCCAAAAAAGTGATAAGTACTTCAGAGCACATGTTCTTGCAGAGGCCACTGGTTTGATTCCCAGCACTTACATGGTGGTTCACAGCCATTCATAACTCCAGTCCTGGGGGTTCAGATGCCCTCTTCTGACCTTGGTCAGTCAGCAGGCACACGTGCTATACACACACTTGATGATCTGATGCCAACCTCTGGTCTTCACACAAGTACAGGTATGTGTCAACCCTGCAAACATGCATGCACATGTGTCAGGCACAGGTGTGTACACACACACACAGGATAAGAAAAACATGCATTTACAGAACTGCAGGTCAAGATGGGCAGATCACTGCAGGTGGAATTCCCAGCATGACTTCATTTGTTTATGAGGACTCAGCAATCCCTGCTTAGACATATACCTTTATCCACCATGATCCTCTTTTCCACTCCCTGGTGATTTCCTGCTGTGGGTATACAGATCTAGTTGTCTGCTTCTTGGAGCAGAGAGTACCTTCCTCATCCACCAATGGAGGAGGGCTGGGGCCACAAAGATGATTCATTAGATCAGCTGATCGATTCTTTGAGTTTCCTGGCAGACCCCCTCCATCATCAAATCTGGAATCCAATGAGCATTTATTGCCTTTTCCTTCTTCGTCTCTTGGGAAAACGTGCCAAGCCTTGAAAAGCAAAACCACAAATTCTGCTATTCCCCAGAGGAAATGTTATTAAAGATAATCCCCATGGGGACCAACTCCAACACTTGTCCGTCTGAGATGCACACCAGCTTCCCCTCTGACTCTCTACTTCTAGATGACTAAGAAGCCTGCCTTGCTTCCTCCACAACAGGCATCTGTTGTCCCACAGAAGCCCAACTTTCTGGATTGATCTGGTTGTTTTTCTTCTTGTATAGGAGTCAGGGAGTTGGTTCTCCTTGTCCACCACATGAGTCCTGGAGCTTGAACTCAGGTCACCAGGCTTGGTGACAAGCACACTTACCAGCTGAACCTTTATTTATAATTTATTTGTACTTATTTACTTATTTGGGTTTTTTTTTTTTTTTTTTTTTGGTTTTTCGAGACAGGGTTTCTCTGTGGCTTTGGAGGCTGTCCTGGAACTCACTCTTGTAGACCAGGCTGGCCTCGAACTCACAGAGATCCGCCTGCCTCTGCCTCCCAAGTGCTGGGATTAAAGGTGTGCGCCACCAACGCCCGGCCTATTTGGGTTTTTTTAAGACAGGGTTTCTCTGTGTAGCCCTGACTGTCCTAAAACTGGCTCGGTAGACCAGGCTAGCCACAAACTCAGATTCTCCTGCCACTGCCTCCCCTGTGCTGGGATTAAAGGTGTGCACCACCACTGCCCAGCTCTATCCACACATCCTCACATGTGTGGCTTACACGTGTGTGGATGCACATGCGTGGAGAGGTGGATGTTTACAATCCTCATTGCTCTCCACCCTGCTCACCCAGGCAGGGCTCCCTTGCTAGACAGTGGCTTCTGGGGCTCCACTCCCTCTCTCCTCCTTCTGAGGCTTGAATTGCAGGAGGGCCACCCTCACCCTGCATTCGTGGAGTGTGGGGGTCTGGGTCACATGACAAGACTGTCAAAATAGAGTCCAGCACAGTCCTGGAGAATTGTCAGCACAGCCCATGGTGTGTCTCATTCAGACTGAAGCTCATTAAACACTTGTAAACTAAACAGTGCTTGAACTAATAACTAAAGCTTTATTTCACGGCGTGGGACAGTCACGAGGGATTGAGCCTAGTGCTTTGTGCATTCTGGGCAAGCGCAACATCCTTAGCCATTCATTCATTCATTTATGTGAGACAGGCTCTCCAAAGTTGCCCAGACGAGCTTCAAACGAGCCAGGTAGTCATGCAGACTTATGGTTGTAATATTCCTATGTTAGCTTCCCAAATAGCTGGTTGTAGACCACCAAACCCAATAGTTATTTTATTTTTATAAAATTAACATGAAGAGCCAGGTGGTGATGGTGCACATCTTTGATCTCAGCACTTGGGAGGCAGAGGCAGGCGGATCTCTAAATTTGAGGCCAGCCTGGTCTACAGAGCGAGTGCCAGGACAGCCAGAGAAACCGTCTCGAGAAACTAAAAAATTAATTAATTAATTAATTGATTAACATGCACTAACACGGAGAACCGGTGAGGTGACTCAGCAGGTAAAGGCATTTACCACTCAGGCTCAGCCACCTGAGTTTGATCCCAGGAACCCACAGAAAGACAGAAGGGGAGAACTAACTTCACAAGGTTGTCCTCTGACCTCCACATGTTTGTTGTGGCCACACATGCATCATACGTGTACACACACTCGTGCGCGCACACACACACACTAATAAAAGTTTTTTTTTAATTAGCAAGTAGGAGATAGGAGATGGTTCACTGAGTAAAAGCTTCACCATCCTGATGGTTTCAGTTTGATCGCAGAGCCCACGTAAAGCCATACGCAATTGGCTGCGTCTGTAATCCCAGAACTCCTACGGCGAGGCTGAGGTAGAGACAGGAGAATGGTCCCAAAGCAACAGCAACAGAAACAAGAGCCCCGGTTCAGGATGGCAGGTGAGAGCCAGCTCCTGGAAGCAAGCTGTCCCCTACCTTCCACTCATGTGCCGGTCCCCACTGATATTTCTTCATTAGCACGTAGAGCTCTGCTTCCCAGAGTGCACTGGGTGCCTGCTGGTGTGGCTCATGTCCACTGAACTGGCCTGGCACATGCTCCTGACTGCTAAAGCACCCTGTGCTCCTTCCCCACGGCCCCACGCTCAGGAGCGAGCCTCCCCGAGCACCTGGCCAGTGCGGAACAGCTCTCAGAAGGCGGAGCAGGGCTTCCTGCTGGTGACCGTGAACTTGCAGTGAGTGCTTAGAGTTAACACTACACAGATCCATTCATAGACGAGGCCTTAGATTTCATCTCCAGTGTGTGTTGGGGGGGAACAGACTCGGGGGAAGCTATCTGACAGTCTTCTTAAGATTTATTTTTATTGGGAGATGGAATGGGGGGTCAGTGTGGGGCATGGGAGGGTGGGAGGGAAAGGGAACTGGGATTGATATATAAAATAAGATTGTTCTAAATTAAATAAATTTTATAAAAGATTTATTTTTATTAGCATGATTTTTGAGGCAGGGTCTGTGTAGCTCTGACTAGTCTGAAACTCTATGGAGACCAGGCTGGCTTCGAACTCGGAAATCCACCTGCCTCTGTTTGCTGAGTGCTGGAATTAACGGCCAGTACCACCATATTTTATATTCGTTTATTTGGGAGGGCGGGGTGCGTATACACACCATAGAGTACTTGTGAGAATGAGTTCTACCAGGGATCAAACTTAGGTCTTTAGGTTTGGCAGCAAGACCCTTGAACCATTAAGCCATCTTGTCTACCCACCCACACTTTTAATGAGCTCCTGCTATGTACCAGGCATCGGGACTGAGGCTGTGGGAAAAGCTCCCTTCTCTATAGCCCAGACCTGGGCATTGGCCTCCCCACCTCTCCTGACTTGTGCCCTCAGGGTTCACAATCCAGCAGGATGATCATTTCAAACCAGTATAGCAAGCGCCATGAAGAAGCCACAGCCTAGCCTAGTTCACTGTTTGACATGTAGGAAGACCTAGGTTCTACCCCCAACACCATAACAAGGGAAAATAATAAAAAGAGGAGGTGTGGCGAATGCCTGTGACCCCAGCACTTGAGGGTAGAGGCAGGAGAACTGCCAAAGTTCAAGACTAACCGGGGTCACGTGGTGAGAAAAGGAAAAGACCATATTCTTGGACCTATAAACCAACGGAGGGTGTGGGGAGTCAAGGAACCCTTAACCTTGCAACATTAGTCCAGGGTCTCTAAGGGACAAAGCAGGCTGATTTTCAAGACGGCATGGCCTGGCTTTCACACTTGGCGAGCTTGAAGCCCCCATGATTTGAGACTGCACTGATAGGTGTTTCAGGTCCTGCTGGGCATGGCTAGCAGGTGAAACTCGGGCTGGGGGCTTGCAGCACCTCGACAGGCTCATTATTAAACAGAAGAGAAAGTAAGATTTGTGAATCGGCTTGTCATCAACATTGTAACTATACTTGAGTGCTACTCCACGCTAAGTCACACGGCCTCTAGATGTGGAGAATTGAATATCTGCAGGACCCAGAATACTCAGCCCTTGCCTATCGGTTCCCCTAGCCACCCTGTAAAAACTGAGAGGACCCGCGGGCAGCCCGGCAGCCCAGGAGTGCTAAACCTCCCTACCGGATTGGGGCACGACCCATCCTCGCGCTGAGAGGGCGGTGCAGGACTCGATGGCCGTCGAGGCAGCGGGACCGGCCCAGCTGGGCTTCTCTGCCCTGAAGCTGTGTATTAAGAAGCCGCCCCGCGACCCGGAGCGGCCGGGGCACCGAATCCGGGAGCCTGGACGTGTCATGAGGACGGAACCCCGGGTCTGAGCTGCAGAGAGGGGTGGCTCCTCCTCCAGCCCCCTCGCGGTAGCTTGGGGCTCTTGGCCGGCGCCGCGGGAGCCTTAGCCTTTTCCGGGGGGCGGGCCTGGCGGCTGCGGCGACACCCCAGCTCCTGCCCCGACAGGTGCGCGCAACGCGCAGGAATGCAGCCCGCCTGACTCACCAGCGCCTCCTTCCTACCTGCGCCGCCCGTCCATAAAGCGCTGCTGGCTCCCGCCCGCCGCCGCCCGTCCTGCTGCCCCTCCGGGCTCGCCCGCGCGCTCAGCTCGATCCAGCGCAGCCCAGGCCTCCACCAAGGTAGGTGCAGCTCCCCCCGGGAACAGGCGTTCAAGGGCACGCCGCCTGCCCCCAAGCCCCGGGACGCCAGGACTGGCAAGGAAAGGGAGTACCCACTCCCTCCCGGGGCCCGCACAGAGAAACTGCCTGGCTTTTGTTCCCCCCTTCCTTCCCTGAAGATTGGCAGGCCCTGGCTCCCTCTGCCCATGCTGCCAGGACAGGTGCCAGGCTTGCCAGGGTGTGAGCAGGGGGCAACTGGGAGCAGGGTGGTTGGGATACGGGGGAAGGATGTTGGTCATCAGCTGCCCCTGCTAAAGTAGACACTGGATAGGGGTGCAGCGGGGGTGGATAGAGGCTGGGGCTCACCGCTCCCCTGCGTGTCTGGCTCCCTCGGCAATCCGATGTGTCGTGACTCAGGGCAAGTGGGGGACATGGGGAGTCCCTGATTTTCCTCTTGGCAGGCCACCAGCCTGTTCCTGTCCCAAACCCCACTCCAGGCGCCCTTTCTCAGAGAAGTTTCAGACTCTCACTCAGCAGCCCTGCAAGCACTGCTCTCCTCCCCACAGCCTCTGGGGTAGCCTTTGGGCTATCACCGTGGCTTGGGACTCCAGGTAGTTCCCTAGGGCAGGGACAGACCGTTTCCTTCCCCACCCCCAGACTTGCCACACCCTGAACACTCAGGCTTCACTCAGGTGGCCCATTTGTTTCTGAGAAGTGAAAACTGAGTCTCCTAGGGGCTGTGGGGAGAGAGAGAGAGAGGATGGTGGAAAAGGAGTGTTTGACTCCTTAACCCTAACTTCCAGCGGTGACAGGGTATGTTCAAGAACTGTTGTCCTGACTGCTCCGCCCAGACTGCAAAGGCCACATACTCTGATGACATCCACAATCCCAACCTTTATGTGAAATCTCATTGTTTCTATAATAAGTCACTATTTTTAGAGCTTTTTAAATACAAGTCGTCGAAGAAAACAGTGTCTGCCTAGACCCTTAATTGCCATTTTATAACCTGTGTGTGTGTGTGTGTGTGTGTGCCTGTGTGTGTGTAGCTTATTATGGAATCTGTGCTGTTCCCAAATCCCCACCAGACCTCCCAATCTGACTGCAGGGTAGGAAAAACTCCACAGCCTCCTATTCTAAAGCATACCCAGGCAAGCCTCTCCCGCCAGGGTCCTGGGCAGATGCTGTGGTAATCCTATGCTAACTTGTTGAGCACGGCAGTTGCTGACTTGGCTGATGGTGACAGCTCTATGTGCTGGGCCAGTGAAAAGAGCTGGATTTGTCCCTCCAGTGCCCATACCTGCCTAGGTAATGGTGCCCTCAGGGAGGCCAAATCTGCAACTTGCATTATGTAGCATGTGGGTGTGGTGCCTACGCCCAAGGCTGCAAGAAACTCATTTCTCACGGGAGCCACCCCTCTGCTGATTCAGGGCTCCCTTGTAGCCACAGCCCTGTTAGGGTGACTTCTCTATGCTGCTTCTGCCTGTAGATGTGCTGGGGCCGCTGTCTGCCTCCCCGGAGACCATGCCTTGGGTGCAGGGGACAGTGTACCCTCCTTCCTTCCTGAGCATGTCTCAGCCTCTGGGGCTCTCCCTGCTCTACAAACTGGGGTTGCTAAGAAAGGATCCAAGGAGGAGGGTCAGTGGATGTAGCCTTGTCTGGGTCCCTAGAAAAAGAGATGTGACCCTGGCCTTTGCCCTCCTCTGTGAAGGCCCTGGTAGCTCTGGGCCCAGCAGCTTTCCTTACTTCAGGCTGCCCCATGACAGCCTCCATCTCTCTCTCTCTTCAGTCTCCCGTGTGCTGGGATTATAGGAATGATCCACCATGCCCGGGCTGAGCCTCCATTCCACACTTACACAGGATTGTCTCACCTGTGGAGCTCTGGTGGGGATCCAGGGGGCGGATGCTGCAGACAGGGGCTCTAGAGGCATCAGGTGTCCATTGTTGTGGTTTTGCAGGAAGAGGAGGATGCCAGGGTCATGGGTGAAGCTGCTGCTGGCAGCGGCGTTGAGTGCCAGTCTTCCTGGGAACATGGGTGAGTCTGAGCACCCCCGGAGGCCCCCCTAGGCAGCTCTTAAGACATGACCCTGCATGAGTCAGTCACCCAACCACCGACAGCTGTACATCACTCAGGCTGGAGAACCGAGGGTCCATGCCCTTCAACTCTGAAAACTGCAGACCCTGCTCGGTGGGCGGGAATGGAAAGGGCAGTAAGCTGTCCACTGAGAGTTAGGACTGAGGCCTCAGTAGCAGAGCTGTGAGTGTTAGGGGGCCCTGGAAGGAGACTGCTGACATGCTAACTACTCTCTTGGGTGTCCCCAGTTGGAAAATGGCTCCTACCAATTAAGTTTTCCCTGCCAGTTGAGGTCATGTTCATTTCTTAGAGAGGACTGTGGTGGGAATATTTACACCATGGACATTGACAACCGCAGAGAGTCAGGGCTTACCTTTCCTCATCAGAACCTGGCTAAATGCTGACCAGGGAGCCATGGCCATGAGGCCAAGAGAGCCCTTGCTGTGTGCTCTGGTGCAGCTAGTTAAGCCTTATTGTGATTCCAGCTAAGGAGAACCAAGGAGAACCCCAGTAACATTTGTGTAAATTCAGGGCTTTCCTTCACGTACTGAGAACCTACTGTGTGCCCAGCCTTGTGCTAGGCACAAGAGTCCTGTGATAAGAACAAGACAGATTGTCCCCTCCCTAGGGGAGGTCCAGGGGACAGACCAGTCCACTGGCAGCCATCTAGGAAACACTCGCCACAATGAGGAGGGACTAACAAAGGGCAGAGACTGGCGGACGTGGCTTGTCACACGAGTCTGGACAGGTGGGAGCTTTTGTAGGGTCTAACAATCACAGCCAACCTTTTGACATTAAGACACGATGTCATCTACAAAGTTCATGCTTGAGAAGTGTGCAGTCAGGCTATCAAAATAGAAAAAAAAATCTCATGATGTTTTAAGTGAATCAACTATTGTGTGTTAATAGTTGTTATCTTCAGTCACACAAGCCCAAGAGCTACAGGCTGGACATACCCGGAAAGGGTTAAATAGCAAGGGTGGTCCATCTCCCCCCACCCCCATGTAATGTAGGGTTGGAGGCCTGCTCTGCTCATTGCTGGCTGTGTTGTCTGGAGTAGACCGTTTTCTCCTCTATAGGTTTGGGAGGGAGACTCCACACTTCTCCCGGCCGCCGAGGGTGCAGCTGGGGAAGGGTGGGTCCCTGGTGAGGCGCCCCTTCATGTGCCCTCTGCTCCCCAGCCAACCGCTGCAAGAAGGCTCAGGCGAAGAGCTGTACGGAGTGCATCCGTGTGGACAAGAGCTGTGCCTACTGCACAGACGAGGTGAGCCACTACCGCTAGGCTTCCTGGGCCAGCCTAAGCTACCACCTCCCGCCCCGGCTTCGCTCTTCCCACCCACACAGCCTAGCCCCAGGCCAGATGGGTGTGGGAGAAGAGGTGAGGGTCAGAAGTAACAGGAGGAAATCAGCTGGGATTGGGTCGGCCAGGGCTTGGCCGTCACCCTCACTGAGCCCATCTGCTTCTGGACAGCTGTTCAAGGAGCGGCGCTGCAATACCCAGGAGGAGCTTCTGGCCGCAGGCTGCAGGGCGGAGAGTGTGCTGGTCATGGAGAGCAGTCTTGACATCACAGAGGTGCCTGGAGCGGGGTGGAAGGCTGGGCTCCCCACGCATAAGACTGACTGGTTCTGAGGACCATGGTGCCCCGTGGCAGGCCTGAGATGCCCCCTCTCAGGTCTCCAGAGTGACCTTCTAATGAACTGCCCCACTCCCTTGGATGCAGAACACCCAGATTGACACCACCCTGCACCGCAGCCAGGTGTCTCCCCAAGGCCTGCAGGTCCGGCTGCGACCAGGTGAGGAGCGCAACTTTGTGTTCAAGGTGTTTGAGCCCCTGGAGAGCCCCATGGATCTATATATCCTCATGGACTTCTCCAACTCCATGTCTGACGATCTGGACAACCTCAAGCAGATGGGACAGAACCTGGGTACGGCTGCGGTGCAGAGAGGGAGGGGTCGGGTGTGGGGCTCGCCCAACTAGCTCAGGAGGCCAACACACAGGACAGCTGCACCTCCCCACCCTCCCACACACACCTCAAAGACCTCCCGTTCACAGAGGGAGATTCTGGCCAGACCCTGCTCACAATTTGAGATTTCACAGGAGGCCCAAGAATGGCAAGGAGCTGAGCCATCCGGCCCTGACAAAGAGGGAGCCCATGCCACAAGGCCGTGGCTATGCCAGCTCTGCAGAACAAACCCAGTTCAGTGCCCAGCGGCCCCACTGTCTCTTTGTTTGACTTGTTTTGTTTTCAAGACAGCATCTCTCTGTGCAGCCCTTGCTGTCCTGAACTCACTCTATAGACCAGGCTACCCTCAAACTCAGAAATCCGCTTGCCTGTGCCTCGTGAGTGCTGGGATTAAAGGTGTGCGCCACCACTGCCTGGCTTCCCCACTATTTCTTTTTTTTGTTGTTTTGTTTTGTTTTTTGAGACAGGGTTTCTCTGTATTGTTTTGGAGCCTGTCCTGGAACTCACTCGGTAGACCAGGCTGGTCTCGAACTCACAGTGATCCGCCTGTGCCTCCCGAGTGCTGGGATTAAAGACGTGTGCCACCAACGCCCAGCTTCCCCACTATTTCTTAACACGGAATTCTAAGTTGTCTCCAGCCTCATCTCCCTCAGTTATAAATCTGAACAAAGAGGCTGTAGAAATGGTTCTACAGTTAAGAACACTGACTGCTCTACCAGAAGACCTGGGTTCTGTTCCCAGCACCCACAGGGTAGTCCACAACCATCTGTAACTCCAGTTCCAGGGGATCTGATCCCTCTTCAGGCCTCCCCGGACACCGGGTGTGAGTGCGGTGCACAGGCATATATGCAAACATAGCGCCATGCACGCGAAATATTTTTTTAATTGGAACAAAAGCTATCAGTCCATGAGCTGATGATGTTCAACACAGTGTTTATGAGAGGTCGGATTTGCGACTTCCTGCTTCCCAAGCCAGCTCAGCCCCCCCCCGTTGGGGTGGCTGGGACTCAGCGGTCTTTCTTTTTTCCTGGTGTCCAGCCAAGATATTGCGCCAGCTCACCAGTGACTACACTATTGGATTTGGAAAGTTTGTGGACAAAGTCAGTGTCCCCCAGACAGACATGAGGCCTGAGAAGTGAGTTGCTGAGCGGGTCCCGGGTGGGCAGGGGTCCCGGCCACGGGCTGTGTGTCCTCTCGTGCTGGCACCTGGAATTCTCCTGTGACCAGAGTGAGTCATGGCACTGGAGCATGGAGGACCCAGTCTTTCCCTGACACTGGCTCTCTCCACCTTGTCCAGACTGAAGGAGCCCTGGCCCAACAGTGACCCCCCCTTCTCCTTCAAGAACGTCATCAGCTTGACGGAGAGTGTGGAAGAGTTCCTGGACAAACTGCGAGGAGAGCGGATCTCAGGCAACCTGGACGCTCCCGAGGGTGGCTTCGACGCCATCCTGCAGACAGCCGTGTGCACAGTGAGTGTCCGGAGGGACCCGGCCAGCCGAGGCCACGGCTGCTGCTTTCTGGGAAGGATAGAGATTGCTACTGGCCTGTCCTCCACTGTGAGGC